TCAATTCTGAAACACTGTTTGGCAAAATGTCTCAGAAACCTTAGTTCTCATTCTCTGACTGTAATTCTCAACTTCTAGGAAATATTTCAGAATGACAATACCTTTCCATGAAGATACTACTTTGGCACTGTGTTTAATAAAGTTTAGAGCCTTATAAATATCCAACAATGAAAGAAGTATTAATGAAATTCATTTCTAAATTATATTTATGGGGGATCTTAATGAGGATTTTTTTTTTTCTGAGAGATAGAGACAGTGTGATCAGGGGAGGGTCAGAGAGAGAGGGAGATACAGAATCTGAAACAGGCTCCAGGCTCTGAGCTAGCTGTCAGCACAGAGCCTGAAACGGGGCTCAAGCCCACTAACCGTGAGATCATGACCTGAGCCGAAGTCGGACGCTCAACCGACTGAGCCACCCAGGCTCCCCTTAATGAGGATATTTTTATGATAAAAGATTAAATATATGTATGACTTCAAGCTATATACACATCAGGGGTGTGTAGGTGGCTCAGTGAGTTCAGCTTCTGACTCTTGATTTCAGCTCCGGTCATGATCTCACAGCCCCCTAATGTGCTCCATGCTGGGCTTAGAGCTTGCTTGAGATTCTCTCTCCCTCTGCCCCTCCCCCAAATCATGTACACTCTCAGGAAGGAAGGAAGGAAGGAAGGAAGGAAAGGAGGGAGGGAGGGAGGGAGGGAGGGAGGGAGGAAGGAAGGAAGGAAGGAAGGAAGGAAGGAAGGATTATACACACATCAAAATCTCAATTATGTATCAAGTGTAAGAAAAACCTAAAAGGAACCAAAATATTAATAGTATTGTAGTATTTCTCTGGGTCTTTGGTGCAATTGTTTTTCTTCATATCTTCATGCATTTCCCATAGTAAAAATGATCCAATCTAAAAATCAGAGAAAAAATACATAAATTCTTTTAGATGATGACATTTTACAGCTAAAAGTCTCAACAGGGGTGACTTCTCCCCCATGGGATTCTACACTCCTTTAAAATGCTGAGAGTTTCAGTCTATTGAACCAGACAATTTGCCTTCTCCCTCCTCTCCTTCCATGCATTTCTGTTCAGTTTGATCCTTGAGAGCATCACTGGTCAGTTCAGCCCCACGCTGCTCCAACCTCAGCCCTGATACCCTTGCTCTGAATCAAATGCTTCTCTTTCACTCATCTGTTTCTTGATAACAACCAAGCTCTTTCAAAGTCACTCAACAAACATTCACAGAGCACCTCTTTTAACTGGGCTCTGTGCTACATACTCGGCATGTTCTACCTCAGGCCAGATGAGGAGTTCCTGAAAGGAAACATGGTGCTTCCCACTTCCTGGGCACTGCCTGGGGCTCAGCAGATGGAGGGGAAAGCCAGTCAGTGGGCACCACTGATTAAAGTCCCTACCCTCAATCCTCTCCAGTCCTGGAGGAGACACCCCTGGACCTCTCTCCTTCCTTATAACTGCCTCTTCCTCCCTCCCCCTGCAGGTCACAAACAGCTTGTCGTGGGGGTCATTCCTAAGTGGGTCCCCAACTTCCAGTTTCCTATGCTCCATTCCATCTCCCCACTCTACTGGAGTCATCTTTATAGAATGTAAATCTGCTTATACACTTAATGCCCCTCACCCCAACCCTCTTTCTCAACCACTGCTCTTAAGGTGAATTCTAAATTCTTTAATGTGGTCCCTCAAACCTCTCCAGCCTCAACAATTAGCCCTTGTCAATTTATATGTTTCTATTATTACTCCATGAGTTTGGGGGAAGCATTTGCTATGTGTCAGGCACTGTGCTGGGTTCAGGGGATCCAGCCATGTAGGAGACACACCCTGTAGGCATGAAGTTTTCACTATAGCTGCTCTCTATCTTGGCTCTGCAGCATGTGATATGTGCACCAGCAGCGCTGGCATCACCCAGGAGCAGAAGCTCAGACCCTTCCTCAGACCCACTGACCAGAACTACCACTGCAATGTGCAGGTGATTTCCAATGCATGTCAAAGTCTGAGCAGCCTTGATTTTGGTCTCTAGAAACCTCAGGGCTTGCTCTCACCACATGCATTTCATGAGCCGGGGCTACTCTTTGCCCTTCCCTCTGCCTAACTCCCACCCTCCTTCAGTTTCTGCATGATTTCCTGTCTGCTAGGAAGACTTCCGTCCCTGCCCTCCTAGGTTAGGGTTCAGTGACCTTCTCCAAATGATGTCACTAACAAAAAAAAAAAAAAAAAAAAAAATAGGGCTCTGTACCATCTGCTGTACAGGCAGAGGCTGTGTCTGTCTTTTCATAACTACATCCTTAGCAGAAAGCCTGTGTCTAACATAGAGTAGCAGGTCAATAAAAAGTGGTTTAAAAAAAAGCATAGAATTCAGTGCAAATATAAAATTCCCAGGCTTAATAAATAATTTAAAGTTTCTAAATTCCTTAGGACAGGGTGGGATTGGGAGGGGGGGGGGCGGTGAACAGGTTTCTAGGAAGAAACCACCAGTATCTGCATTTCATGCTTCATGTGTCACATACAGGCTTAGCCTTTTATGGCACTCCCCACTAGCCCTCTAGACATCTTCGTGTAAATCAGGAGGAGAAGCTCCTGCCTCAGCACAGATGTAATTCTAGGCTAGAGTGCATGGAGGATTCAGCAAGTTGGTTTCCAGTTGCCCCCATGCAGGGTGTAGCAGGCACAATCATAGCTGGGGGGCCTGCCTTGTACCCACAGTTAGATGGCCCCAGCTTTGGAAGAATGGCCATGGAACAAGTGCTGGAAACCAGGTCCTGGCTCCACATGACCTTGAGTTAGGAATTTAACTTCTTATACAATGGATATCGATAACGTCAGCCATCCCTGCTTTATGGGGCTTAGAGAATCCACATTCTGAAATAGAGTGGAATCACATCTACAGAGTTTATTTTCTGAAGTCAAAGGGTAAGGTAAAACTTGCAAATGACCAAATTACTCTTGAAAATTCCTTACCACCACTCAGGAAATAGAGCCCCATGCTAGGCTGACACACCCCGCTCTCAATAAGCTTACCACAACCTGAAAGGAGGGAAGAGATGTTCATTCTTTGGTAGAACATTAGTTGAACTAATTGGAATGCATGTGTGGGCCATGTCTACCTAAAGTATAGAATCACCTTCAGTGCGATGAGATGCTCACAATACAAGGCCTTCCGCCCTGGAAACCGCCGAGGGAACAGCAAGCTCCCCTCTCCCATTGCACACTCCCTCTGGAGTATATACTCCCTGAAGGGAATAGCAAATGAAATCACTGGCTCAATTTAAATTAAGTTCCCCTTTCTCCCCTTTTTGTGCCAAACACATATAATTGAGCAAGTTAAATGCATAGTCTAATGAAGCTTGAAAACTCTAAAGCAAAATATAAATGCAAAGCATTATTTTGGTGATACACCTACCCAATTAGTATTCTGTGTCAAAGGGAAATCCACACTATTCTATACGAAAGGCTCCCAGTGTGGAAAACCTTGAACTTACTCCATTAGCTTAGGGCACATGCATGGAGCATCTCCTCCCCATGAGAAGGCCAGTGTGCTCCCGCAAGAGCTGGTGCTTTGGGGTGTGCTCCCCATCAGTGAGGATCAGCACGGAGACATTCAGTCTTTCACCCCGCTCCTCTCCCGCCTAGGAACTAGGTCTACTGGCTGAAAGAGGGGGATGGAACAAGGCACCACATTAGTATGAAAGCCACAGGACCGACCCTCTTGGATTAGTTGATGCCCTGAGCCAATCTCTCAGATCAGCCCCAGTAGAGGCCACCAAACAAACAGTCCTCTCAGCTGACTGCTCCAACACCCAACACTTCCAGAACTAAAGAAAAGCCCCAGCACCTTCCAGATAAAAGCAACATATGCCCTTTGCTTTCCAGAGCAAAATGCATCACTCTGAATACCACCAAAATAAACACTTACCCTCATGGGCTATCTGGGCCACGCTGGAAACATTCTATTGAACCTATGACCTACCATCCAATCCTACATAAAGAGCAGAATGTTTTACAAACAAAATCACTTTTTAAAAACAAAAGCAAAGCACTATTTGATATCTCTGCAGCCCTGCCAAGGCCTCCCCATTCAACAGGAAACCTCCTAAGAGAAAAGTAAGTTTTATAGCTGTGTATGGCTATTGACCTAAGTTCTTCATTAATATACTTTGAGGAAGGAATTGTAGTGAAAACAAATACATATTAACACCCCACTGTGAATATTAATACTGTTTCTGATGGAAAACTAGGGTCATCAGGAGAAGAAAATTCTATTCAGAAACTCTTTTTTAATGTTTTATTTCTTTTTAAGAGAGAAGGAGAATATGAGGAGAGGAAGGGCTGAGAGTGAGGGGGGCAAGGATCCAAAGTGGGCTCTGTACTGAAAGCAGAGAGCCTGACACGGGGCTTGAACTCACGAACTGTGAGATCATGACCTGAGCCAAAGTTGGACGCTCAATCCACTCAGCTGCCCCTGTTTACAAACTTTTTTTTTTTATTCCAATGTAGCTAAACATACAATGTTATTAGTTTCAGGCATACAACATAGTAACTCAACAATTCTATTTATTACTAAGTGCTCATCAAGATAAGTGCCCTCTTAATCCCCTTCACCTAATAGGGTATCTATTGGCGTTATCTGCTGTGCTAGGTACTACGGAAGACAAAAACAAACAGGATGTGGCCCCGAGTCACTGTCCATGTCTTCCTTTCCCTCAAGAAGGCTTAAAGTCTACAAGGGTCTTCAGCCAGCAGCTCACCATACGGGAAAAATACCAACTTGGCAATAAGAGAGATCAAGAAGTCTTAATTGGTTGGTGACAAGTTCAAATGTTCTGTAAGGATCAGTGTAACTCAGCAATCCAAACCTTTTATTCAAAACATACACAGCAGCCTCAGGTAACAACATTTAGCTGATGGAGGAAAAGAAAATGCAAGACAGTAACAAAGGAAAATGATCTCTTTTACTATTCCAAGTGCATAAAGGTATGGCTCAGGGTGGTCTCAATACTCACTGTTCTTCTTGTACATCAAAATTTCAAAGGAATTCATCTCATAGTTCTCAAATGTTTGTCGAACCTTTTCAATTGTGTCTTTATCAGTCAGCTCCCCATACATGAAACTGCAAATCAACCAAAGAGCTCAAGTTAGTTTCACAAGTACTGATTATTGTACCAGCATATGTTAAATATCTTTCCTATACCCAGCTCTGTGCTATGTAGAATGAACACACACACACATGCACACACACACACACACACACACAGATAAAACAATCATTCAATCAAAAAAGTGTGACCAGCACTCTACCATCACCTCCCCCCCAGCCTCCCCGCCAAGAAAGGAACAGTAGAGTAAGGAAGATACCCAGAAAAGTGTGGATCAAGAAACATTATGACCAACACTTTTGGAATCACAGAACACAGGCACAGACCCTGAGTGGTCAGTGAAGGCTTCCCAGAGGTAGAGACAAATGAAATCTAAAGACCAGGTAGAAATTAATGAAAAGAGGAAGGAAAAAAACTTTTCAGGCAAAAGAAGAGCATGTGCAAAGGCACTGAGGTAAGAGTGAGGTTAATTCTGGAGGCTGAATGTAGTTCAGTTCAGTGTGACTTAAATATACACAAGGAGGGGAGATTTCACAACAGATAACATGGAAAGAAAAGCACAGACCGGATCATGAAGGAGTACGTGGCATTACAAACCATGTGAAGTCATTTAAACTTTATCTTGAAAGCAATGGGGCGGAGGAGGCAAACAGTGGACAGTTGGAACCAAGAGAGTTCCATAATTAGATTTGCATTTTAGAAATACAACTGGGGGAAACTTCCCAGGAAAGATGGCCAATTAAATGTGAGCCAAAGATTTTTCCTCTTCTAACTCCCAACAAAATAAACAAAAGAATAGGGAGGGAAAAATCACAGAAATTCATCAACCAAAGAATTGCGCCAAAGGGTGCAATTTGATGCTCTAAACATCAAGCCAGAGCTAAGGAAAGAAACAGAAGATTCAGCCACTGTCTGTGCAGCTCTGTTTCCTACCCACCCCACCCCACCCCCAAAAAAGCACTGGGTTTAAAAAATTGAGATGATAAAATCCTACAGTTCTTAGTACTGCTCACATTTGGAGAAAAGTAGACTAAGGCGGGGCAGGGGGAGAGTAGCATGAAAGAAAATTAGAGAAAACCTCTATATAGCAGACATTATTACCGACTAATTCTGGTTCTCGCAGAGGCCCGAAAACTGCCAGGACTGTCCATTTTCCTGGGCCCCACTGTGAATATGGTCTGAAGACCAAGATTTTTCCCTTTAGGAACAAGATACACCCCCAACTAGGTGGAGTAAACCATGGCATGGCCCACTAACCAAATGGAAGAGGACAAAAGCCATCTCTCAATGGGGCAGGAAAAGCCAGTCCTGACCACCTCAGGCCTTCGTGCAACCAGAACAAGAAGGAAACCAATGCCCAGTCCCCGAGTCTCGGGTAATGTGGACGCAGTGGCCTGTGTTCCTAAAGAAGACAATCCCTAACCTCCAAAACTGTGCATACAGCGTGCAGTCCAACTTCCTCTTGATGCCTTGAATCAAAGAATCCTAGAATTTCAGAGCTACAAAGAGTCTCAGAGGCAGTCATTAACTTCAGTGCCTTGCTTGGCCTCATTCTGGAACAGCCTTGAGCCTACTGCAGACCTCTGATTGTCAGCACTCTATTTAAAAAAAAAAAAAAGTGCCCTCGCTGCTGACCTTATAAATCCTGTGTCACCTGTGTTATTATGTCCCTTCCCAGCCCACTGACATTATTATCTATGGTGTACCTTGTGCCTCTCTGATGCGGTGGTCTGCTTTTCATCTACAAATCAGGAAAACAGATAAGTGAGCTTCTTGAATTACCTTTAAAAAGATGGCTAGATCAAGACAAAATCAGCCCTGCCTGAGAACAAGAGGACTTTTCCTAGGAGGTAAAAACGTAGCTCTGGGACCTTCTTATTTAGCCAGTTGCCTTTTTAGCTTTCTCCCACTTTCTCTTTGAGTTAATTTGCTAGATAAGTGACCTCCATTTAAGTGACACAATGGTATACATGCTGGCAAATTCCTTCACAAGGTAAAACGAATCCCTGTAAAAAGGAGACTTGAAATAAGTGAAGTGCCATAACTACTCCCAGCTTCCATCAGTCCTATGTCCTTCAAACTGTAACTTACTGGTAGCTATAAGTTTTCTTTACTTGGACATTAGATGTCATATACCTCCAATGCAAGAAATAAGCAAAAGGGGCTCTTGAGCCATTAGGAATATAGCGAGCATGAAGGCACGTTTATTTTTGGAGAAGAGGCACCTTCAGAAAATTAAAAATGTTTCCTACAGTTGTACATAAAAGAAAAGTTGGCTGATTTATGTGTCTGATTATAGCCAATAAGAAGGGAAGGAAAGGCTGCTCCAGTCACACCAAAACGTGAGGTTAACTCTCCCGATTTGTTTTGATTGTATATGTGCATATATCAAGGTAGATGTAGACGCTTATGAGGAGAACCACAAATATAAGAGAATTTTATTGCAGTGCTTAAGAGTCATAATTTCCAAATCTTTGAGGGAAGAAGGCAAATCTTAAATTTCCCATTTCCTAGACCCAAAATACCTAAAATGTAAGAAAATGATATTTTCAAAGCATTTAATATTTTTCACCAAACTAGTTACATGGCTGATTTAATACCATCAAAATGCTAACAAAGGACTATGTCTTTGTTAGACAGGTTTTTCCACGCTTTGGGGAGGAGTTTCTTTCTGGATCTGGAAGGTGTGAGGAAACGATTCCACTTCCTGCAAGCACCAATGAAGACAGAAGACTCCGAAGAAGGCAAGGAGTGAGAGAAGCCCAAGGCTGTGGTGAGCCAATACCCTGCATGGGCAGTGCGGGGGCGTCGGGTGGGGGGTCGCGTTGGGCATGGCCAGGGATAGGCTCTGTTCTACTTGCTCTGCTCCACACCTTGAATGTGCTTTATTATTTTTAATATAGTTTATTGTCAACTTAGTTTCCGTATAACACCAGTGTTCATCCCAACAAGTGCCCTTCTCCATCCCCATCAATCATTTCCCCTCTCCCCCACCCCCATCAACCCTCAGTTTGTTCTTTTGAAGTCAGTATTTTCATTTCCTTTGAATATATATACCCAGGAATGGGATTGCTGGATCATAGGGTAGTTCTGTTTTTTTTTTTAAGTTTATTTTTTTGTCAGATTGAAAGATTTTTTTCTTTTATAGTTTACTGTCAAATTGGTTTCCATATAACACCCAGTGCTCATCCCAACAAATGCCCTCCTCCATGCCCATCACCCATTTTCCCCCTCCCTCATCCCCATCAACCCTCAATTTGTTCTCAGTATTTAGGAGTCTCCTATGGTTTGTCTCCCTCCCTCCCTCTCCTTAACTTTTTTTTCCCCTTCCCTATGGTCCTCTGTTAAGGTTTCCTGTTCCACATGAGTGAAAACATATGGTATCTGTCCTTCTCTGCTTGACTTTATTTCGTTTAGCATAACACCCTCAAGTTCCATCCACATTGCTACACGTGGCCAGATTTCATTCTTTCTCAATGCCATGTAGTATTCCATTGTATAGATAAACCACATCTTCTTGATCCATTTGTCCATTGAAGGACCCTTAGGCTCTTTCCACGTTTTGGCTATTGTTGAGAGTGCTGCTATGAACATTGGGGTACATGTGCTCCTATGCATCAGCACTCCTATATCCCTTGGATAAATTCCTAGCAGTGCTATTGCTGGGTCATAGGGGAGTTCTATTGTTAATTTTTTGAGGAACCTCCACACTGTTTTCCAGAGGGGCTGCACCAGTTTACATTCCCACCAATAGTGTAGGAGTGTGCCCGTTTCTCCACATCCTCGCCAGCATCTAGAGTCTCCTGATGCCAGCATCTAGAGTCTCCTGATTTGTTCATTTTAGCCACTCTGACTGGTATGAGGTAGTATCTCAGTGTGGCTTTGATTTGTATTTCCCTGATGAGGAGTGACGTTGAGCATTATTTCATGTGTCTGTTGGCCATCTGGATGTCCTCTTTGGAGAAATGTCTGCTCATGTCTTCTGCCCATTTCTTCACTGGATTATTTGTTTTTTGGGGTATGGAGTTTGGTGAGTTCCTTATAGATTTTGGATACTAGCCCTTTATCTGATATGTCATTTGGAACTTTCTCTTCCTGTCCCTTTGGTTGCTGATTAGTTTGTTGAAGGTGCTTTAAAAGAGTGCTTTTAGCACCATGGCTCAAGGGTACAGCTTGCTTAGTAACCCTGTACAATGCACAGGCATTGGGCACTGTTTGCCATAGCACCATTTGCCTCTGCCTTTGAGGTAGTGACCAGAGATGTGACAGCATGAATCAGAAGGTAACTAACTCTTAGTTCTCTTCTCCTTTTCTGGCGAAAAGCCCTATGAGCAAAGTCCTTTCTCCAATATCATAGTGATTCTTCTCAAATATTTTTTTAATTAATTTAATCCTTAGGGTGCCTGTGTGGCTCAGTCATCTAAGTGTCCAACTCCTGGTTTCACCTCAGGTCATGATCTCATAGTTCATGGCTTCAAACCCCCATCAGTGGGTTTGATAGCACAGAGCCTGCTTGGGATTCTCTCTTTTCCTTCCTCCCTCCCTCCCTCCCTCCCTCCCTCTCTCTCTCTCTCTCTCAATAAACCTTAAAATAACTAAGTTACTCAACTACAATTTTATTTCATTTTCATTTAATTTTATTTAATCATCTAACTTTCATATCATTTCATCTAACACCTCACAAACTTTTGAATTCCTATTTTATAGAGAAAAAGACTTTTCTGAGTTTTTCTAGTCTCCCCCCAACCCATCTCAGTGACTACAAGTCCATCATTTTGTAGAGACCATGTCTTAAGGCTTCTTGGATTTCCCAGTATAGTGCATGAACTAGAGGTGATATTACTATAAACATTCCTGTATAAGCATTAAATGAGAGAAAGAAAAATCCCACACCAAGTAAGCCATTTTTATTTTTCCAGAAGATACATGACAGACTGCTCAACAGAACAACCCCAAACATAAATACCTGCAGGTACTGCTTTTTTGCATCACTTCCGCCCTGTGATAGCCAGACAGCTTGCAAAATCCGTCATTGCTGTACACGATAGGCCAGTCCACTATTTGGGCATTCCCCAACACAAAATTAGTATCTGTTAAGAAAAAAAAAAAAAAGAAGAAGGAGAAAAGAAAAGGGCATATGAGGCAAGACACTAGTTGAGATTCAATGAGGACATAAGTAATGTCAACCAATCCAGGTATCTTTGCTTTCCTCTAAAACAGTCTCTTGAATAGGAAAATACCCCTGTGCAGAATATAAATGAAAAGTCCTTTAGACCTGAATATTTCGAATTCAAATGCTAGGGTTATTGTACTCCAAAAAGAACTTAGCAAAGGAAACATACTTAATCAACCAACCAATGAATCTTGGAGAGATCCAGTGATCCCCATGAGACATGTTCAAGTTCTAACTGATCTCACTGAAAGTACACCGGTACTACGGAGAAAGAGAGAATATAAAAGGAATTTCTTCTAGGCTCCATTTAGCATCTTAGCCTTGTCAGTCTTTTAGCCAAAAGCTACAAATTGGCCTTGTTGACCCTGAGTGGCATTTACCCATCCTAAAAGGAGACAGTCTTCTTAGAGAGGCAGAGGAAGGGTGACAGAGAACTGCTTCATGAAACACACACACCAGAGAGCCCTCTTCTTGGTAAGGAAGTGACTAGACATCCCATAATACTAGAGCCTTGTAGAACCTGATCGAGATGCTAGCAATGGCAAAAACTTTCTTGCTAATTTTGAGATTTTTGTAGCAGCAGAAGCCACATGTCAGAGCTCTTTCACGGACCACCAGCCCACATTCGCTTCAGATGCAGGGATGAGGTCAGCAGGTATGGCTGCTCTGTGCATTCCCATCACTTCCCACATTTCTGAAGATCAAAAGTCTTCAGTACTTTCTGTGCTGAATCAACTGTCTCTTTTTTTCTCTTCAAGACCTTAAATTAAAGAAATAGCATCCAGAATTTAAATATAATCATTCTTTTAGCTTGGCTCTCTCCTCTCCACAGAATACTTAACCATTTCCCAAGAAAAGAAAGAACGCACACACCCTTCTTTTATTTATTGGAAGCTGATGGGGGTCTGTTTATATATGTGCACTGGATAGAGTGAAATAGTAGTCACATAGAATGTCTTCATTTAAGTGGGAGGTTAGTTTCGTTCTACTACAGCATCTATAATTTATTCACAACATGGGTAACCATCCCTTCCTATCTATGTGGGGAGGAGTTGAGGAATGAAAGGGAGAGGGAATAACTAAATACAGTAATCTACTTTGGAAAATGCTTTCATCTATTTAAAAGAAACATAAAACACAAATTTCATGTAGTTAATCTATAAACCTGTTAATTTTGTAAACATGCTTTTATTGAAAATCTACAACCAGTCTTTCCTTCTATCTCTCCCATACAGTCATGAATACTTGCTGAGTACCCACTAGGTCAAGCACATTATAAGACTCTGGAGATATCCAGCCTGACGAGATATGGTCCATGCACTCCAGGAACTTATCAGGACAAGAAGACATGTATACAACTGTATGCATGTCTTCTTGTCCAACTAAAGAAAGCAGTAACAAAATTATTAACTCCAAGATAGGAGAAGAACTGTGTCTCAGAGGGGTCACATTTGAACTTGTTCTAGTATGGAAGGATGAGTAAGATTCATTCAAACGTTGCGAATGCCTAACATGTATGATACAAAAAACAATATTTAGAGAAATAAAAATATGATGCCTGCCTTTGGTAAGGCTGTGGAAGGAAAAGAATATTCCAGGCTGAGAAGCAACATGAGCAAAGGTCTGATAGCATGGAACACATAAAGACAGGTGTAGACAGACAAAGGGCAGTCAGGAAGATTGGAAGGAGATGAGCCCAAATACCAGACTGGGATGGGTCTTGACTATCAAATATCTTTGACTTTGTTCTGGAGACAGGATAACCCTTTATGGTGGTCTTTTCTTCCTGAATAACTCACATTTCTTCAACAGAACAACTAAGCTTTAAAAAAAAAAAAAAAAAAAAAAAAAAAAAAAAAAAAAAAAAAAAAAAAAGCACAAAACCCACTAAATCACTCCTGAGCATATATGAAGTCCAGTGGGTTTAACTATCTCCCTTGTTGACTCCTAAAATTGTCAGTAATTTCCCTTAAAGACCTAGAGTAGTTGAGGGAAACTGTGTGAGCTTTTTCTTGGCTAGTGCCCCACTAAAGTTATGTGCTAAGAGGGAATAATAGCCAGTTATAAATAATGATTGACTGCATGTGTTTATTTTCTCTCCTATCGTAGGCACCATTAAAATAAATGAATTAAAAAGGTAAAAATTAGAGGAAAAGAAAACAAAAAAAATGACTATGAAAGAAGCAGAAATAATACATGAAACAAAAAAGAACTTTAAAAAAAAAAATATCCCCAATTAGTATCCTTAGAGAGATTCAAGAGATATTACATCCATAAAACAAGAACAGGACGATATAGAAAAAGAAATAAGAGAACACATAATACCTTCTGTAAATTAAAAGTGAGTAATTAAAAATTCAATATGTTAGAAGATAAAGTCTTGTAGAGAATAGTACAGAAGACACAAGAAATTTTTTTTAAATAAGACACAGAGGATCAATCCAAGAGGAACAGCATGCCTCCTAACAGGAATAGCAGAAAGAACAACATGAGAAAGAGCCAGAGGCTTTTTTTTAAATTAAAACAATCAAATGTGAGGATAGAATGAAGATATTCAGATGTGTAAAGATCTAGGAAAGTTATTTCCCACATATCGTTTCTCAGGAAGTTACCTGGGGATGTGTATCAGCAAAGCGAAGGAGCAAGAAAAGACAACATATAACTAGAGGAGAGAGTAGCTCCAAATATAGAAAGGAGGAAGGAAGCTAACAGAAAGGTTTAGCACAGAATGGTTCAGAGAACAGAAGTTCCAGAAGAGAGTTACCTAGGGATCAAGGAGGTCAGGGATCTGACAATATTCTTGATCACCTGAAACAACATAAGTCAATACGGTTATTATAATTTGGGGGGGTGGGCAGGAAAAAAATTAGAAGCATCAAAGAAAACAAAAGCTGTGCAAGAAAGGAAACCAAATCATACCTTGTCATATCACTGTCACAACAGTGTAAACACCTTATTAATTTCCAATTTTTAAAACCAACATATGGTCAAGGCATGAAATATTTAACTATAAGTATCTGAATATAACCATATCAATTCCAACACCATGAAAATACAAATGATAAGTTTAGAGAAAGAAGTGAGAACAATCATGAGTTGGTGTCTAGTGGTGATATAATAAAAAAGAAAGGTATATAAGATCTCCTGGGTGGCTCAGTCAGTTGAGCATCTGACTCTTGAACTTCACTCAAGTAATGATCTCAGGGTCCTGGGATCCAGCCCCAAGTGCTAAGCATGGAGCTGGCTTGAGATTTTCTCTCTCTCTCTCTCCTTCTGTCCCTCCCCGGCTCATAATCACTTTCTCTCCTTCTCTCCAGAAAGAGAGAGAGAGAGAGAGAGAGAGAGAGAAAGGGAGGGAAGGAAGGAGGGAGAGAAGGAAGGAAGGAAGGAATGAAAAGAGGGAGGGAAAGAAAGAGAGGGAGGAAACGAGAAAGAGAGGGAGGAAGAGAAGGATGGGAGGGAGGGAGGAAGGAAGGAGTAAATATTTTACTTAAAGTTGCAAAGATAACCTATAAAGGAGTAAAATACTTGTATTAGGAGAAAAGGGTAGAAAGTAAAGTGAGATAAAAACTCAGCTAAATTAACAAGTCAACGGCTAATTGCTAAAAGTGATAATCTAGAAATAGCCGTAATGCATATTACTTAGAGACATGGCAGAAACTATAAGAGGAAACAGCTATAATTAGAACATGTGACCCCTGGTGAGCAGGATGGACAAAGGGACAAGGCATAGGATGGTTCTTTTTCTTCATAAGCTCTTCAGTTTGATTTTTTCAACCAAGAATGTATATTACTCTGATAAAAATAAGTATATTCTTAATTTTTAATGAATTTAATCAGAAAAAAATTAACTTATTGATTAATTTTCTACTTGCTAAAAAATGAGAACAGGATACATTTCAAGCTCCAGATATCACTGCAATTTCCCATAACTGTATTCTGGACATCCCTGAAATGGGCTCCCCCTTCCTCAGACATTTCCATTTTCCCTGGGGTGCAGATTACAGCCTTATCTGGGAAAAAACACATCTCCTGGTATCTTCTTGGACTTCAGAAAGGAAATAGAAAAATAGGAAGTAGTGTAGGAATAGAAACATCACCCTACAGATCATCCACTCAAAGTATTTCTCAATCATAGATTTCAAAATTTCAAAATAGTTATCTCTCACTGTTAACCCAAGCAAGAAATTATAGTTACCCAGAAGCAAGATTCCCTTGCCACTATGTGATAGAAGGTTTAGGAATTCCCTCTTTATCGAAGGATGTGGAGTGAATTAAGGAAAGAATTCTAGTCCTAGTCACAAAGCCATTTGTCTCCAACAGGAGAGAAATTCTTCCCCCTCCCCCTGCCCCCCCCCCTTTGCACACACACATATACCCTACTATGGTTGTGTGGAAAGGGGGAATATTCTAGATTCCCTTCAATTCCTAAGCTTAAATAATTGACCTGCAAATTGACTTCAAAAATCCAATCTGTTTATAAATTGTGGGCTATCTATACAAATAACATCACATATATCATCAGAAACTAAGGGATTCCACATAGGCAATATTCCACGTATTAATAATAATATATACTACTTTTTCATATTTACTCTGTGCCAGGCTTTGTACTGAGACTTTATCATATATTACGGTGGGGATTTTTAACCATTATAACAATCTTTGTGAGGTGGTATTGCTTTACTAAAGGAAGTGTCATAGATTTCATCATTTTACTCATGAGTACACTGAGCCTCTGCAGACACTCAGTCACAGCAGGTTAGAGTTACGATTTGAATCCAGGTCTATCTGACCTCAAAATCCATGCTTTTAACCATCATATATTACATCATCTCTCTCTAACTTCATTAAGTACTAAAATCAGACCACTTCTATGAAAATCTTTGTAACACATTAGATTTATGTTCCTTCCCA